CCGCAGGAAAGTGAGTATATACTATTTTTAACATTTTCAAGATGTTACAACGTACAGAATCTTTAAGTGAGAAATGATGCTACTTTGCATAAAAATATAAAGATCACTGATTGATACAGGTTGGGATCAAGTTTAAATTGATGATTTTGAAATAATTATAGTTGGAGTTTGATTGTCATTTGAATTTCATGATAATCTATGCTTAGCTACTAAAAATCAATCAGATTTAAGAAAAATAGAATTTTACTTGAAATTTATCTAAGTCGAATATCTTCAAAGTGTATTTAGTATAAGATTAAATCACTATATGTATGTGTATTTATATTTATTTATAATGATGCACATAAAATATTTATTCAATACCAATAATAAATCTTTTTCTATATTGAAATTAATAATTCTATATAATTTTCTGACAATGAGCATTCATAAAAAGTTTAGAATATGTTCTTGATTCTAACTCAGTTTTTTGTTTGCAAAATTTATGAGATCATACATTTTATATTGGTTAAAAACTAAAATTTTTTTACAAAATGAATTAATAGTGATTTAATATAAATGATTAATATAAAAGATATAAAAGATAATATAAAAGAATTTATCTCATAAAAATATACAATTAAATTGTGTATTTTTATGAAATTAATCTTTATTTTAAATTATCTTTGTCTTATGAATATTTATAGTATATCTTAATGTGAAATATTAATTATAATCAAGGATTATATTTAATTTTATTGATTAGGAATCATACAGAATTTCTTCTGTTTAAGATTTTAAGTCTAACTTATCCGGCTATTATATATTAGTTTTAAATTATATATCAAGTAAACAGAGAGTCTGAATTTTCTTGAAAGGATGGAGGATTTTTCACAAGTAGTGTAATTTTCTTAAAACTATGACTAAATATTTTAATTAATGTTTTAAATAATAAATTAAAAGACTATATTGAGGAAAAGCGATATCATCTATTAACTTTCTTTGTTATTTTGTCCACTTATCCATAACACAATGGATTCCATTAATGAATTCCCTCTTTGATGGAATATAACAAATTATAGAAAGGATTGATGAATTTACCTCCATATGTCTTTGATTATTGTGCTCGATTTACATTGGCCAACTCCATCGAATGGCCTGGACATGATTGCAGCCGTGAAATCAGATTAATCGAGTCACGTGCTCTCACGTGCATGTTCAGTTATAAATTACACTTCACTACCACGTGGACATGTTTATTTTAAAGATTCGTATAATGCTGCATATAAGGAAACCTAAAATAAAATGATATATTTAATATATATTTTTTATATTAATAAAAAATTAGAGGATAAAAATAATTATGAACAAAATTATAGAAACAAACTTTATACAATTGTAAGATTTTTTTCAAATTATTTTTCAACAGTGATAAAATATGCAATTATGCATTTTTTTCCACTAATAGAGTAAAATGTTTTACGGATAAAAAAATTAAAATTCACGTAAAAAAATCAAGAATGAGAAGTTCAAAGTAAAAAAAATTCAAAATAAAGAGATTGAAAATGGAAAAATTCATGGTCGAAGAATTCAAATATGGAAAAAATTCAAAAATATCCAAACTAGAAAAAATTTCGTATAGTTTTGGTATCTCTTGGAAAAAAATTCATGAATATTTTTTCTCCCCCTCACACGAATTTATTCGTAGACACAACATCGTGACGTTGGAAGCACGTGCATTTTTTTTCTTTTTTTTTTTTTTTTGGTTTCAAT